GCGCACTCTGGAATAAGTGAGATCCCGCATTCTGTGAGTTGGGTGTTCACTGGAGTTTGAGAGCCCGAGATCTGACTGTTCCGCAGGCATATTCGAAAAGAAACAGGCGTCTTTCGAGGAGCTGACTTCGTCTTATGCATTTGCCACCAAATACTTACCATCATCATCATGTTTCTGCTCGCTCATCACTACCAGTACCTCACCCATGTACTCTCCGTCTGGGGAGCTCGCATTAGTGAGCTACAATCTCTATTACGTGACTACCCAATTATTCCCCGCTGCTTTTCCGCTGATGTTCAGAACCACTGAGCCTCGTCGAGACATGCCTGCTTGACTGCTTCAATCTCGCCTTGCTATGGTTCGTACACTGTGCGTCCAATCATGTAAAACAGCCCCAGGACCATACCACGGCCAAGTTGCCAACAGGATGGAGGTAAATGCATAGAACTGACAATCCTCAATTATCTAACAACAAACGGTACTGTTTGTGGTATTTGTATTTCTACAGAATGTATTGCATGGACCTGGCAAGGGGCACGAATAAGGAAAGGATACGAGGAGCAAGGTTGTTGCGCAATGTGAGAGATGTCTTGCACGTCCATACGAGACCTCAGCAAACTGCAAACTGTGGGGTACCTGGAATGAATGAGATGTCTCTTTCTGGGAGTTGTGCCTGCAACAGCGTTTGAGAGTTTGAGACCTCACCCCGTCAGAAGCGCTCCACACTATGTATAAGATTGATGCGCTTGTATGCGCATCAGATGCAGTTACCACACGAAAACTGATTGCCTCCTTCACACGCGGTACATCGGACTCTAGATTGAGCGCCGCGTATGGACGAAAGGTCCCAACACCCCGAAATCTCTGCCAGAGCAAACAATGTTGGCGCGATGCCTGGCTTCTCCATCGAGTCGTTTGCAGCGACTAATGCTTTCTGCAAAGCCGGTTGAGCACGCCTGGCATCATCCACGGCTGAAACCTCTTGTGCGACAGAGTTCCCTTCAGCCGTTGTGTTCAGACACCTTGAGAAACTATTTCAGATCATATTGGATATGGCTGAGCTACCAAAGATATTTTGGCCGTTGGATGCCACACCTCATGCCACTGCCTCTAGAAGGTCACCGAGAAAAGCTTAAAGGGTGCCGGGTCGGTACCGAGCACTGGCTCAGCATCTGTCAGGGTCAGGTACATACCACTGCCCGTCTCTTGGACCCAATACGTGCCGACACTTTCAGCCGCATGGGTGATATTCCATGTGCCGGCTCTGCTCACATCGGTCAAGCCGAGAGCGGAAGTAATGTACTGGCCGGCAGGCGTAGAGATCTTGAAGACGGTCGCAGTGGCCATCGTGGAGTCAATGGCGTGGATAATCCACCTTTGGCTTGGGTCGGTCTGCTTCCGAGGCTGAGAGGACGAGACAGCTAGAGCTCCAGCGCAGTCTGCTAGAGCGAGGGAAGCGGACTCGAAGACGAGGTAGCGACCCTCAGTGATGGAACCGCGAACAGAGCGAAAGCCAGCCTCAACAGCGAGTTCGATGGTGGCGTTCTGCTTGCCGTACGGAACCTGAGCATGGATAGAACCCGCGTACTTGAATTCGCAGAATTCGGCCTGATTGGAAGCAAGAAAGATGAGCAATATCCAAGGCAGCTATATATACACGCCACGTACACCGTAAAGCAGGCCAGTGAGAGCATCCTGGTAAGGCGTTTCTCCCTCGGGGAGAGTGTAGTACGATGGATCGATCTGCGCATACAAGTCTGTGAGTTATATCTCCTAACTTACACTGCTACTAAACAGACCGTGCTGAAGTCGAACATGGCCGTCAGGTCGGACATGTGCTCCCTCCTCCACGTATTGATCTCAGCTGACTTGAAGTCGATACCCTTGGCAGCCAAGAACTTCTCAACAAACATGATTTGAGATGCTGAAAAGAGTGATAAGTCATTGAGAGGTACACGAAGGGAAGTCAAGCACGAACTGTGATCCGCAGGCTCAGTGAAGACCTGCATCAACAGGTCAGAACAACCGGTGAACGGGGGGGCAACGACACGCACGTTGCCACCACGGCTGTAGGGAGAGATAGCATAGAACGGCAGCCGGAAGCCGGGACCAGAGAACGTCGATGTGTTGGTGAACGGATTCTAAGCAGGCTCCCTCAGGGGTATGAACAGGGTAATTGTCATCAGACAGAGCTCACGTTGATCCACTCTCCGGGGGTACCTTCAGGCCTGAAATGAGCGTTATCAGCAGCGGTCGTACCACGAGATCACAACGACATACGAATGGAAAGGTATGACGTGGTCTGCCCAGCCTCCGGTCTCATCTGTCGAAGTGGAAGTAAGACTGCCACCGGCTTGGGAGACGCTGTGACTTGCGTACCGAAGGAGATTATCAGGATCGTCTTGTTGTACTTTGGGGAGTTTTGGACGGCATTGATGACTTCCTTTTGTAGCCAAGCACCCTGGCCTGTAGATCGAATCTTTAGATGCCTGTTTGAATGGGACGTAGTATGAACGTACGGGGAGTGTACGGAGGGTGCTCAGAGAGCTCGGCAGGCCCAATAATCCACGATACCGTGGGGAGAGTGCCCGCGGCGGCATCGGCCTTGAAGTGGTCAAGCCCACCAGACCAGGCACCGCTTCCGGTCCAGTCCATGGTCATACCTACGTCATCAGCGTTTAAGTCTCAGCTCTACAGGTCACGAGGTAGTTTGCCGTACTGCGGATGACGAGATCGTTGACTGTGTCATTAACCGTGTTGCTGGAGTCCCAGATGTACCGGGCAAAGCTGGTCAGGCCGTTGTCACCAAAGCTGTGCACACACCGTCAGCTCTGCAGGGACGGAAGGACTTGTAAGAGACGCACTTATCACAGGCCTGGTACACCCAGTAGGAGACGTTGAGGTCTTGAAGATACTCGTTAACTAACCGAAATCACTTCGTATTCATTGAAGTAGAAGTTGAACAAACCGGTCCGCCAATCGAACGGGAAGCAACTGATATTCTGGTAACTTTCGTTGAGCGGCAAATAGAATATCTAAGCCGCACTGAAGGGAAACAAGTGCAGGCGGCTCACGTATTCACAGTCGCTCCCGTCAGGTAGTTCTCCAGGCTCAGTGTGTCACACCCGGGCGTGACATTGTTATCTAAGATACCATTAGCTCCATCGGTGACTGACGTCGAGTCTTACCTAGTACAGGTCCTTGGGTAGAGTTGACATTGCCACCAGGGATGCTGAAACGGGATCAGGACGGGTGGGCGCCGAAGCACAAATAAGCGCGCACTTGATGCTGCCAGACTGCCATAAGACACGGTTGGGATTGGTAGACTAGAGAATCACACGGGATGTGAGTAGATGTCGTAAGTGTGATGTGATGCAGGAAAAGTGTCGAGTTGTGGTACAGGCGATGGAACGATACGTACTGCAACGACGCCTTGCTGGTACATGTCTCCAACAGTCCATGCATCAGTGATGGCAAACTGGATGGGGATATCCTGGCGCTTGAAGTAGGCAAGGGATTGGGGAGTGTTCTGGAGTGCCCAGAGATCCTATGGTACGCGTCAGACAGGGGAGAGACAGAAAGGAAGGTAAACACACGTTGGAACCGTTGCCGAAGGCAGCATGGTTGGAGCCAAATCCGTTGGAACCGGCGTCCATGCATTGAGTCCCGTTGAGGAACTCGCCACCCTGTGCGTTGATGTACCAGGGGAGCAAGTAATCGGTGGCATTGCTGAGAGAGGCGTTGACTTGTTGGTAGAACACGCTCCTTCCGTTGGCATTGATCTGGGCGCTGATGGGGAAAACAAAGATATCAATGCTCAGCAATGAACTGAAGGGTGAGAAGGAAGGGAAGGGCACTTGGGATCAGCGAAGCCACGGACACCGTAGAGGGTACCAAAGTAGTGATCGAACGCGCGATTCTCTTGCATGAAGAGGACGACATGATCGATGTCGGCCAGACTGGCGCCGAGTGCGGCAACGGAGAAGAAGGCAACGATGGAAAGCAGAAAAGAAATCATGACGACGGACAGTTACTGCTGAGGCAGAGATGTCTTCTGAACCCAGGGGCAAATCCCAGCTGTAAACCGTAGTCTTTATAGTCCACATGGGCAGTACTATTCACGGTGTCTAAGTAGTGTGCGTATGCTTCATTTCCCAGACTAAGTATATACAAGTTGAGCAGCAAAGCATGAGGTACAGAAGGCAGAGGGCCAAGGCACACCGAGGTGGCGAGCCAGCAGAGCAGGAAAGAGAAGAGAAAGGGATGTTGGCGGAGAAGAGAGAAGGTCGAACGTGCGGACTGCGAGCGATGAAACCTGCCCAAAAAGGCAGGTGTACACATGGCAGTTGCTTCCGCTGCGAGTCGGAAATTTTACGTGTTCACGTGCACCTTCCTCCGCATAGCCTCAACATCATTTCATGTCTTACAGCGTTGCTTCTCCCGCCCTTCCGACTCTAACCCGGTGCGTTATTCTTGTGGCAAACAATAACTCTAGCTTGAAATGTAGAGCACGTTTAACAATCTCCGCGTGCTATCAATCATTGACATCGGGCATCCGCAACCCAAACACCAAGACGATGATGACTGGACGGCGCCGTACTCCGGACTACCAGTGCACCGAAATAACTTGAATTCGACTGGAAGAGTATAATAAATACAACTCGGACCGTTCTCAGTCCGCACATTATGGTGCACCAACAAGGTAGCGTTTAAGTCACGCCCAAAACATGGTTCCAGCCTTAGAGTTCCAACAAACGTCCTCCCACGCTTTATGACCTGGCGCCTCCCCCCCCTCGCTGGCATACTTCTGCTCTGCGTCATATCTCTCGCAAAACTCATCCCTCTCGACCTGCCCTGGAATCCCTTCGTATCATTCATCTCCGATCCGAACGCTCGATATTATCTGTCGCCGTCTGCCCACACGTTTCGACAACCCCAAGCCCGCTACTACACCTTCCAGGTTGCAGAGGATGTCGGGTAGCCTGACCGTGTCGAGAAGCGCATTTTCACAATTGATGGTGCGTGTCTTTGGCTTGCATTCCTCCTTTTGTTTTCTTCCTCATCCCCTTGTACAGGCCTCTTCCCCGGACCAACAATTGAACTTCGTTACTCTGACACCCTGTCCCTCATCGTCAAGAAGGGAGTCTCCATCCACTTTCACGGTTGCGACACGAATACGATGCGCTGCCGTCAGATGAGCATGTCGTCGCGCTTGCTGATCCGGCTGTACACGTAGCGGGTCGCAGGATGCCGCCATCGGTGTGACGCAGTGTCCCATCCCGCCCGACGGAACCTACACGTACTTCAAGAGTGCCGACGAACAGCATGGGACGTTCTGGTACCATTCGCATCACTCAGCTCAACGGGCCGGTGCTTCAGGGGCATCTCATTCCCAGCACTTTTGCTTATCGTACTGCCTAGATGGCCTCTTCGGAGCGCTAATCGTTCACCTGCCATTGGATAGTCTAAGGATACGTGAAGACCCTCGCCGCCGACCCCGCCTTCTCTCTCGTTCTTTTCGACGCATTGTCTGTTCGCGCTTCAAACACGCAAGATGCGATAGACTGCGATGAAGACGTCGTCGTCATAATCGGAGACCAGTACCATCGCTCGGGCGAAGAGGTCTTCCACTGGTGCTGGTCGCGCTAATCGGCTGGTCTCGAGGTGTGATGCGTCCATCACCATTGCTCTTCCCTCTCGTCGCTGATTTCCAGTACGTGCTCAACAACGCGCTGATCAAAAACAGAAGGCCCTTGACTGTCCGCGTTGCATGCGGAAGATCAGGTGCGACACTTCTCTAGTCACAGGACCGACTTGCGTCTTCTCCCCTACCAAGACGTACAAGTTGCCCCCCATCAACAGTGGATCTCTCGCGATGACCCACATCTCCATCGACGCTCACGATATGGTTGGAGTCAAAGCCGTTGAGATGGCCGTGGTGCCTGCAAGTGTGCCCCAGGTGCCAGTTGCGCCAGCACAGTGGTACGCCCTCGCACTGCGGCACGTTGGACCCAGAGCAGAGCTAGCGGAGGGTGCATCTTCCTGGTTGCGACACAGGCTAGACCAAGAGTGTGTTCTTTGTCTACTATCATCGATTTCATCTCCTAACGTTCGCTCGATAGCTGCTTCAAGTATCCGTTCGTACGCACTCCTACAACCTCCGAGCCACTGTCATCATGATGCGATCAGGAATGCTGCTGTCGACCTTGAGCCGACCGGCGTGGTTACCTACCTCAAGATCCCGTCTCGGGCACCGAAGCCCTTGGTTCCCTTTTCAGGGAATTCATCTCTGCAGCATTTACGCCACCGCCAGACCCTCCATTTCTCCCTGTATTCTACACCCTCGGCCGAGACTTGGTCCGATTCGTCAATCGCTTCCAGCAATCCAACGAACACGGGACTGGTATTCGCAGAGTAAACATGACCCTTGCACCCCTTCAGTCGCTCAGCGTTAACTTTCAACCTATCGAGAGCTAGGTGCAGGCAGGCTGCGGGGAACGCTACAATCCGATGACAGGGCGGTCCATGGTATTGTACCTTGGGACGCTGGACGCTGTAACCTGAGATAGATCTAGCAACATGATGGTAGACTGCACACGTTCCCAACCGAATTGGTGCTAGGATTAGACAACGAAATGCAGGACGTGCATAGCAGGGAGATCAGGCGTCGCTTCGGCGTTGGAGGACGTCGATGGTCAGGCAAACATGCGTGCCGCACAGCATCAAACCTTGAGCTATGAATCTTGTCATACAGATGAAGCTACTAGATCAGAAAGAGCAGGATTTGGCTCTTGCTCAGGGTATCACGGCCGATATCCCATCTTATTGCCGTGACGTACAGCTGCTTTATTAATAAAACGACCAGATGATTATGGACAGCATTACCAATAATTCCTCACACGCCAATGCAGATCCATTGATCATCCCATCTCCAGATCAAGAGGCTACTGCACAAGGCTTGAAGTGAGCTGAGGTCCAGTCTTTTGGTGTGGAACCCTCCACTGACGATCACACTAGGAGTGATCCAACCCTGGCACCTGAATCCACCCCGAATCCTACCTCACCACAGGATGACATCGAAGAATCGAGATATCCACTAGTACGTGGGCAAACCGGCTTGTTGTTTCCCTGGCGAACCCTCACAGGCGAGCTGGGCGTCGCAAAGTCTCCTCTCCCGGATGAGCCAGGCTGCCAGGAGGGCATATTACGTGAAATCCAATGCTACAAAACCTTGGATGCCATGCCTGACTGCTTCTGCGTCATGCGTCCACTGGGAGACGACATGAACATTTTCACCCTGTACCTGCCTTACATGAAGAACCGTGATCTCTATACCTACTTCTGGCTTCATGGCGAGGCGGTCACGGATGATCAGGTGCGCCCAGGTTGCATGGGCCATCACAGCGATACACGCCTGGGACGTCATCCACGCCGATCTCCACCCCGGTAATATACTCGTCGATTCGGCTTTGAACGTCAAGTTGTCAGACTTCGAGTGGGCATCCTTTCCTGACAACTACCTCGGAACAGCCTCTGTCGGTCCTCAATTGTCCATCAAGGACTTTCGCAACCCGGTATGGGATCGAAAGGAGTTCATTCAGGTGGACATATACTGTCTCGGCAGTCTCATGTATTGGATCCTGACAGGGCATGCTCCATTCGAAGGCGTCGAAGGCTATGAAACGCCTGCCGACTTCCTGCGATCATACGAGGCGGGTATATTTCCAGACACATCGGATGCCGCTAGGCAGCCTCATCCTGGACATTTGGGAAGGGAAGGTTCGAGATGCGGGGGAGATACATCACCGAATAGCTGCTCACATTTCACTTCCCTCTGACTTATAGAACCCAGGTGCCAGCTTTTCTCCTTTTTTTCGTGCGTGTTATAATAGCTGTCCCGTGGGAATCTCAATACTTCCTTTGAATCATCGTGATTCTTTACCATACCCCGTGCCGTGAGAGTTGCGAAAAGGGGATGAGAGGGAAGTTCTATTCCACTTCAACTGGAGAAGCTATAGCTCTATCCTCTTTTTGAAGCTGCGAATCATTGTGGACGAGAGAGGACGCGCAGCTGCAGGGTCACGGGTTACTTGTCAATGGTAGCTGGAGAAGTGTTCAGGGAAGCCTCGGCGCTGATTTACGCGGCGATTTGTGTCCCTTCTCCGGTCGAGCCACTCCTCCCATTGACACTTCCTCCCGCTTTCTTCTCAGCCGCATCTTTCTTGCGGCAGGCGGGGCACTTCCCTCTACGGGCGACCGCGCCGGCAGAGCTGGCGATGTTGTTCACTTGTACGGAACGTACCGTAGTCGCAGTGCATTTGTTTCGGCATGTCGGGTCTAGGACGAAGATATCCCCCTCCGGTAAGTGATGGTTGCACGTGTATCTCTTCAGCATTCCAGTCAGAACGAAACAGTCCCAAGGCCGACTGAGAAAAGAATACGTCGGGAGCTCACGGTGGGTCACCCATTAAGTGTCAGAGCTGTATGTAGCAGCCGAGTGGACTGAATGGGGACGGAAAGTGGATGAGTGGAAAGCGGGAGGTGCGGATGTGGGTGCCAGGTGCGTGGTTGGTATATCGGGAGGACGGCTGTTTGAACACGAACATGAGCGCATTGGACAGGGGCAGAATACGAGGACGGGCGTACCTCGGTGATTGAGCACGTGAAGCAGGCAAGCTGGGGTGGTTGGGAAGGCCTGTACTCGGCCTTATGTACCGTATCCGCCAAATTCAACGACGACGCAAAGGTCAGCCCGACCCTTTCCCGCCCACCATATGCACCAAAAGCGTGGGTTTGTTCGTGTCGCTCTTGTTGCCCAGCCCTGTTCATACGGCATAAATACAGGCTTAGCGTCTGCATTGTCCCCTCCATCAAACTCCATACGATGCCTAGGGCTTTAGGGTTACAAATCTCGCTGGCCAAGCGTTTGCTGTAACATCTCCACAAGAACTTGTCGTGCCGTCGGAAGGAAAGTCGGGTCTACATCCTGTTGCGGTTTGGCTGAGTATCATAGGATGAATCAGAGACGAGCATTGTACATCCACCCACCATTTTATGCCAGTCTTGGAACACCACTAGCAGGTATCTCCAAGCCTCCTCTTCCGTGTCTTGGATGAGTGTGAGCATTTTCTGCAGCTTCTGTCGAATGTCCCCAGGTTTGAAAGCAGATAGAGCAGCAAATTTGAAAGACCAGATACATCCCAATCCGTCCTTGAATCCTTTCATGCCATCCTCCACACCATAAGCTGAGACCGTAGTGTGGAATGTGAAGAACAGTAACAGTACAGACAGCTTCCATATCGGCTCTGAGACTGAAAGTGTCCAGGTTGGTGACCGGCACAAGTGGATTGTAACCACTGTTGGAAACAGGTGAGTGACGAGAAGCACGCGGTAAGGTGAGCTTGCCTTCGGAGGGAGAGACAGGCACATGGAACAACTTCCTCACGTCAATTGGAAGCTCTTCAGGCGACTGTGTGCTTGCAATAGTTCGGGAATTTGCTCGCCGCCTCTTGGGCCCTGCCTGCTCCAACTGAGGCTCAGGAACATCTTGAAGCCTTCGTTTGTTGCCGGCACGAGCGAGGGAGCACGGGATGGTAGGTCCGCTCAGCGCCAATAATAAGGAGTAGGGTTGCGAGCAATGCTGCCCCTGAATGATCCCCATCTGGTTAAGACAGGAGAAGTCATCCATTGTGGCGACAATGATGAAGGCAGCCTTCGGATGTATACCCGTCAGCAATGCCTGGATCTTGGGCCCGGTCATAACGTCGAACGGGCAGCTCTGGGTTTGCGCATTGCGCTCTCCCATGAATAACCTGTCCAAAGTCACACGCAATGTTTCTGGCTCGCTCGCCTTCCGACGGCGATAGCCTGGATCCATGCAGCTGCAAATCACGTTCCCTTGTTGCAATTCTCGGGCCACGCTATCCACCATGCTTGGTAGGTGGTTCAAGCCTGAAACAAAATCAATGGGATATCGTTGTCCGGGAGTCCGGAGGACCTCACCTTCGAAGAAACGTCTTGCCTGCCCCTTGAACGCCAGAGCAGGTGGCCCAGGGTAACAGGTGTCTGCCAAGTCAACTGTGACGTGGACTTGATACCTTCGCATCTTCGTACGAAGAGATGCCGTGAACAAATGGAGCAGCTTGTGAATAGATGAAGGATTGGCGCGCCCTTTGAAATCTGGTAGATAATACTGAATCTCTATTGCGCAATGAGTATCACATGGCTGTGGCAGCATTGCCATAGACACCTGCAACAAATGTGTTTCAGTGCCTCCAGTATTTCAAATGCATTCTTACATCGATGCCAGCCAGTCTTCGTTCTGAGGTCTGTGGTTGGGATAGGACGATTGGCACATCCTCAAGGCTCAAGAGTACAAATGACCCCACAGCTGTTTGGACGTCAATAAGACCTGACTGATCCTCTGGGTAAGCAGCACCATCAGCAACGCTTTCTGTTGTGGGTTTAAGAGCCCACTCACTTGAAAAGGCCACAATCATCGAATGAGGCCTGTACTGGTGACTAGATAGCTGCACTAACGCGCGGAGCGCCGACTCTTGAACGGAATGATCGGCGCTCATCCATCTCGTACGCAACGGTTCCCCTAATCCGTGACGTGGTAGCTTTCGCCCAAAACCTGCAATGATGTCATGTGGTGTGTCTAAGGTTGGTTGGTCCGTGAGATACTCTCCATCAATTTCGTCTAAGACCTGGAGAATCGCTGGAGTTGTGACCGATGCTGCAAAGGTTTCCACACGATTGGCAAAAGTTTTCAGGACTGAGGAGACACATGCAGGCGGGATCTGCATTTCGAAGGTGGTGTAATAGCCGTTTACACTTCCGTTGATGGATGCGCCGAACTTTTTGAAGAGAACCTGTTGCAACCGACTGGGATTCAAACACAAATTGCTTGGGGGATGAGTGAAATACTACCTCGGTGAGCGTCAGACCATCTTCCATCACACCCTGAACTCGTTGTTCAAATATTTATGCAGCAAGAAGAGGGTCGGTCACACATTGAGGAGAAGATGTTCCAGACAGTGCGCTGCCTCCCTCCCTATACAAGGAATTTCCTGCAAACGAAATTCAGACTCAGCCCGAGTAGGAAATGCATCATATTACCTCGACGGAGTTAACGCCGAAAGGAACCACCGCCTTCACCAACGTAAATCTACGAGGAGTTAGCTTGTGCTCTGAAGTATACCAACCGTCAGCTACGGACTTGCTGTCATAAATCTCAGACGGAGGGCCAATCGTGAGCTGAACGCCGTTTGGAAGTGTTTGAAAGGAGGCAGGGGAGCAGGACATGGCTGCTTTAGTTTGTCAGTCAGACGCCACCAACTATATTGAGACCCTATAGTGTCTGTGTAGAAGTCATAGCGAGTCGCGTGGTGAGAAGCATTAAACGTGCCTCCTGTAATCTATTCCGCCGGACGCGGGATCTATTGCAGATCATCGAACGTGTTGTTTATCTGATTAATTGCTTGTTCACCTCTTTCAGGTGAGCCATCACTGTGCCCATGTGCAGGCTAAAGACTATCTATCCCATTCCTATGACGCCACGTTCGTCCTTCTCTCATTCTTCACCTTAAAAGGGACTTTAAAAGAGGGGTGCCCAGACAAACAATCCCAGTCGATCACATTAAACCAAAATGAAGCCCGCTTTTGCTCTCTCTGCAACAGGACTCATCGCCTCAGCACTTGCTAACGATCTCGTATCTGACATCAGCGTCATCTCGGGCTACTGGGGCCGTGAGTCACTTTTCACCCACAAACCAACATTCCTCCGCTAACCACGTGCTGCCCCATTTCAGAGATCAGGCCGTACGCCGATAACGAGCCCGGACACTTTGGCGTCGAAGCACTCGGTCTGCCCAACGGATGTGGTATTGAGCAGGTTCACCAGCTCCAGCGGCACGGTGCCCGTTACCCTACCAGCGCAACAGAGGATGGTGTTGATGATCAAGGTTTTGCCGCCAAGGTTCGCATGTTCCCCCGTTCTTGGTCATAATTCCTTACCTATGAATAGGTATCAACTTTCCTCGCTGCCGGGGGGAAGTTCACTGGTCCTCTGAGCTTCCTCTCCGGATACCAGCAGGAGATCGATTCCTCCGGTCTACTGGTTGAGACTGGTGCTGCCCAGCTCTTCACCTCGTAAGGATTTCTTCTATATGAAGACACCCGCCCTAAATCCTCACAGGGGAACCCAGTTCTGGAAGTAAGAGTATCATTTCTGCTCCCACGTACTTGATCTTACGCTGTGCTTAGTCTGTACGGCCGCCTCCTCTACGGCGCCAAGGCGGGCCAGCCGTACTACAATGCCTCCAACTCGGACGGGACTGCTCGTACCAAGCCCGTGCTGCGTACCACTTCCCAGGCCCGTATTTTCCAGTCGGCCATCTTCTGGGCACAGGGCTTCTTCGGCTATCAGACCAATGTTTCGGACCTCTATGACTTGGTCGTTATCCCCGAGGGTGGCACGGAGAACAACACCCTCGCATCCTACGACTCTTGCTTCAACGATGATCTTGCTCGTACGTCATTGACGGTTGGTGTACACACATTCTGATTGTTTGCAGCTCTTGGAATTCTTGTTTGTGCTGCATATGCCGCTTCGAAACGAGGATCTGACGAGAATCTGCTATACAGGGCGACAACGACGTCTTCACTTACATTCCACTCTACCTCCAGGATGCCACTGCCCGCCTGCAGCAGTACGTCGACGGTGAAAACTTCACGCTCACTGTCAACGACACCTACTCGATGCAGTCCATCTGCGCATACGAGTATAACTCACTCGGCTCGTCTGACTTCTGCGGTCTTTTCACCCTTGACGAATGGAAGGGCTTTGAGTACACCCTCGACCTGGAGTACTACTGTACGTCTTTGTGTGTAATAAACAAGATATGCTGACTGTGCAACAGATGACTACTCTTGTACGAGCCTATCGCGTTGAACTGAGCATCGTCTGATAAAGATTCTTAGATGGCAACCCTACCGGCCGTGCTCAGGGTCTTGGTTACCTCGAGGAGCTCCTTGCACGCTTGCAGAAGCAGTTCATTACTTCGTCCGACTCGAGCGTGAACTCAACTCTCGACAACAACGGCGCGACGTTCCCTCTCGGTCAGCCGTTCTACCTCGATACCTCGCACGATGACATCATCGTATGTGCACGTCGTTTCTGCTCTCCCTCCTCCTTCTGACCTGCGGATTAGATCTCCGTCCTCACCGCTATGAGCCTGGACTACCTCAAGCCCGCGCTCCCGCTCGACGTCTTCCCTCCTCCTGAGGACCGCACCTTTGTTCTCTCCCACCTTACTCCATTCGGCGGCAGGCTCACAACTGAGGTCATCGGCTGTGCTTCGGCCAACCCTACTGCCAAGCAGTATCCGGAGACGACTTACAAGATCTACACCAACGGGTACGATCCTACCAAGGCGCCAAACAAGTTCATCCGGTGAGTATCTCCCTGCTTTTCCGGAGCAATGAATATCTCACATCCGCGCAGGATGCGCCTGAACCAAGGTGTTCTGCCCCTCAACACCATTCGTGGGGGTTTCTGCACCCGTGAGGATGGACTCTGCTCGTTGTGTGACTTCCTCGCCAGCCAGACGAACATGACCCAGCTTGCGAACTGTACGTGCATTCCCTTCATATTCATGATTCACCCCTGACCTTGCCAAGACCAATACTCGTGCTTCGCGAACCAGAGCGAGGTCCTCGCTAACTTCAATTGGGATGGATCCTCGTTCCCCCAGTAAGCGGATGGGGACTTGTCGATTTTGTGGACCCCTCAGTACAAAATAAATTGTAAATGAATCGATGCTGACTGCGTCTAACGAAAAGGTGGTTCTAAATTACAATATTACCAACTGGTAGTAAATAATGCGAAGGTTTCATCGAAGAGGCGAGATTCGGACGTTTTGGCGAATCGAACGCAGTTTCCGGTGAAAACCCTATAAAAGTCCCAAGACCGCGAGTACAGGCATACATCTTCGACCAGAAGCTTACGGTCCCGTTTCGCCGAATTCCCGACAGCACAGCGTCTAGCACCACTGCGGCCTTTGTTGCGTCAGCTGTCGGATCGCCGTCACATAATAGTACTAGTGCTGTTTTCGGTTGCAAGATGATAACATAACATGGTGTTAGAGCGAGTCCGTTCTTTGGAGGACATTCTTCACCAAAGTAAACGATTTCGACGTCTTTCCACGGAGAATATTATGCTGAATACGTGTCTACCGTTCAAGACCTTCAGTAGGAGGGCATTCTGCGTGGAAGCAGCCGATTTCCACGTCCTTCCAATTTTTATACAATCTACATACGTCATCGAAGAATTTAGAGAAACTTTGAAGATCAGACGTGACAACGGAATAATGACTTGAGAGGCGGGAGACTTCGCCGACCTGGCTGCAATCGTCGATTTCGAAAAGCCGAGGCACTGGATCAGGTGATAGCTTCGTCCACGCTTCCTTAAATTCTTCTACCACGTCGGGCCTGTGAGCTACGCGGAATAGATAGTTCGGTCCAATGAAAGCGAGCTCCCAGTCGATGAGCGCCATAATCTTTACACCCCCGCCTCCGTCCCGACGCACCAAGATATTTGAGGTTTGAAAGTCAGGATGTATGAGGGCTAACCGCGAGGAGCCGAGTTGTTGAAAGTGCTCCGATGTAGCCAACCATCGCTGGAGATCTTTGTAGCAATTGAGAGCGAAGGAAATTTGGTTGGTGGTAAATTTCGGCAACTTCAGTTGACAGATTGAGGTTTGTGGTGAATGGAGCCGTTCAATCTGCGTGTCAATGAGGGAGTAGTACCACGCTTGCACAGAGGAAGACACAGGTGCGCTGAATGGCGGCATGAACCACTGCATTTCACTTCCCCAGGATTTGATTTCGTACGTCGAGCCGCAGGGATATAACGCGCCGATCTCTTTGAACGTGATGTTGTTCCACTCTTTCGTGATCTGGCTTAGACATTCCCCAAATGAGTGAAGCTCTTCGAGAGTAAGGCTACGGAGCCAGACTGGCTCGGCGTCGATCTACCTGATTTAAACCCCTGAGTGTGACCGGCACGCCCGTGCTTACCCATTGTTCAACAACGAAAGGAGGCACGCCGTCGTCGCGTTCGACGCTGTATCCATGCACGGTCGGCACAGGGATCTTCGTATGTTCTCCCAAGAAGCGTAAGACGGCGAACTACGTAATCAGCTGAACCGATATCCAGCTGCATAGTGAGGAGACACACCTCGCATGAGACACTGTTGCACATCTCTTGCCAGTCACGTTTTCCTGACTGCCCAAAGGCGTAGTCCGGTCGGCAGACGCGAGCAACCACTGGGGCCCGCTCATCGGATTCCTTGGGTACCATGAAGAAGACCTGGCTCCCAATTTGCTTAGCGGTTCTCCCAAGCGTATTGAACAAAAGTAGGAACGCACCAATTGGCTCCCTCCTGTCGCGAACCATAACGCAGCCGTAAAGTCGTACTTGGCTACCCGGCTCACCGCCTTGATTAAACAGGGAATGTCGATGGACGCCTTTGAGTCCAAGTAAACCTTGCCCACGTGTGGACGCGGATGGGTGATCCATGTCTGTTCGTAGGCGAGGGACCTGTTGAGCATACGAGCGATATCGGAGACCATGGTAGATTTGGGGAGAGCCATAATACTATTCAGGTGAGACAAACGACAACTATGCAAAGCCGATAGAAGTTCACAGGTCACGGAAGTAGAGAACTCTCGTTTAGGTTGCTTCTCCAAAAGGACCACGAAAAAATACCAAAAGGGTTCACACTATTAGATAATACTAAACACATGTAATCATTACTAAGCTAATTGAAACTCTGGAATCCAGTAAAAAATAAACTTTACACCCCCCTTGGGGCAGTGCTGCTTACCTAATCATGGAAGCAAAAGTTCGACTTCTCAAGTGTCTTTTGGACCCTTGTGCCCCAACAAAGTAAATTTATTTCAAGCATTATTCCATTGTTTTAAAGTCTAATAATCAATACTATTAATGTCAATATTTTCACAAGGACAATAGTGATGAAAATAAAATGATATCAAAATAATTGCATAAGAACTTTGTTTGGTGATTCTGTTTGATCTCCCTTAGTGGCTGTGTACTAGGGTCCAGGAGAATCAAATCAAATGCACCCAAGCCAAGTGGCATAACAATCATAGGGGTCCCGAAGGACTCACTTTTACTGCTGAGCCCGGCACGGAGGCAAACCTGCCTCAATCTTCCCTCATGAAATTGAACCTCGCACTATATATTGGCTTTCCATATTACCCCGAATAATTCTGTGTTTATGAACGCCAGATGCACATCTATGTGGCATGTTTAGCATTTCTGGAAGCAGCTTAGTAAGCAGCATGATGGAATCCCGTGTTTTGCGCGTCCTAAATGGTCTCCTAAATCCTACAGAAAGGCACCCAGTAACTTCACCTCGCTGACCACTCCCATGATGGCGTCTGTACTGTCATCAAGCATAGGCTCTCCACAAGCCCCGACGATTCTAACTCTACCAACAGAGCTGTGGTGGTATCTTTGGGGCTACATTGATGACGTGGATGTGGTGAGGTTATCACAGGTGAGTAGTCGTCCTCCACGGACAAGCCGCGATGTTGACAGATAACCAAGTGCTGCAAGGCCTTGCGGTCACTTATGGCCGATCCGATAGCCAGTAGAGTTGCCAACCACATACGCGCGGGCGTACTGGCCCCACCGACGAGACCAACAAGCTGGACAGGCTTGACCAGCCAGGACAAGACTGGTCTGCTGGTCATCGGAAACCGGCGGATGACTGGACCTAGCGTCCCCAATCATCCATCACAGCTCCATGCTTATCCCATACCCCTAGAGGGTGCAAGACTTCAATGGGCCAGCATGTTGAGCGGGCTGATCTTTGCTATCACGAGCGACTTTAATCTCCACTGTCTCAGCTACCGGAGGGGGCACCCTCGTCGAATTGCACGCTTGCAATTGCGGGATCTGCCTGATCTCTCCGACCTGGACGCCATCAACTCTGGCTTAGTATATGGAGCTCTCACACAAGCACCGTCCTTCCACTGCCTGGTGGAAACGGTCGTGAATGTAGAAGGGACAGTGACTATGCGAGTGTCACATTTCGAGTTTGGAACCGACCCGAATGGAACGCTCCTGCGGCTACGCAAACACTACCGGGACAGCTGTCGGCCACTCGCGATGAATGAGCGATTTATTTGCACTTGCCGTGCCGGAGGTTTACCTGGTTTGCATCTGTTCGCAGTGGGCGACACCGAGCCCGTCCAGATCGCTGTTCCCAAAATGGTACGTTAGTTCCACCATTTTTGAAAGCAGTTGCACACATAAACAACATCAACAGGCCAGCATAATGGCTGTGGCTTTCACAGCTGAATATCTACTTGTTCTGGAAGATCATCATGTTCTGCTCTATGACCTCACCAACGTCGACCGACGCGACACTCCAACCCTGCATTGGGTTAGTCGCTTGGACCTGCTCTATCTACAGGACATAGCCGTTGGGCTCAAGTATGGCGTGCCGAGCTGTGTGGGCACGCCGATCCTGCAGTAAATGCCCCCCCTGAAGCGAATGAAAAACATGTAGTCGTCAAGGTCTACGATCCCGTGTATTTTCCCGAGACGGAACACACGACAGCAGAAGACATCTTCGTTCGAGAAGCGTGGGCATATGGCAGGTTAAAGCAACTTCAAGGCGCTTGTCTCCCGGTATCGTATGGATTTTATGATGTACGTGTTAGCATAGTATTCGCTTTCAACCCCGAAACTCAAATTAATAGTTCGTCCTTGACTGCGGGCGCGTTGTTCGCGGCCATGTGATGGTATTTGTACCTGGAACGGCTCTTTCACGCGGTACTGGCCTCACTCAACCTCCGGTGACGGGCGAGGAACAGGACATACGGAGGAAGAAGGTTCGCCCCTCATACTCCACCATTTGCGCAGTCTGCTCCGCCATCTGATACACCCAAAGATGGCTGATTTCATGAATGCTGTCGACGCGATACACGAACTTGGCGTGTGCCATCGCGATCTCAACGTTCGAAACGTCGTTGCAACAGAGGAAGGGAATAGAGGGAGCTTTGTCATCCTCGACTTTGGCACCGCCAGGCGTATTGCACCGGAAAAGCCTCGTAGTGCAACGACCGCTACATACGCGGACGATGCCTATGGAGCGTTTGACTGCCTGGGGGAAATGGAGGATTTTCGTGAGTTGCTTCCCTGGATTCAACAGATCCACTCCCGCGTCCGATGGCTCCGCATCTTTGCAGACCATTGGAAATGGAATACGTTGAATGGAGAGGCACTATCGAGAGACGCATGGAAAACCTTGGTAGGTGCCTAGTCTGATGGCTCACTGTTGCCCACAGCTTAGGTGCTGTCAGCAACCCGCACACTGATCTGGTTGGGTAGCACTTCTCTTGATACCTAGCTAGTGTTTGATAAGGTGTATATAGCAGGGTGCTCACTGTGCTACAGTGAGCAGCTAGGGTCTGACCACTGACAAGGACTTGGGTTATGCTGCGTATGGGTTAGGGTTAACAAACCTTGCCCTCGACCAAATAAGGAAATTGACCAGTCTCAACCATGAAGGGGAATCCACTGTCTTCTCCTATTGGGGACCTATAATAACAGGTGTTGACAGTAATTGATTAACACCCCTGCATCATCCAGGTTGGATAGCACAGACAGGGCAGTATTTTGAGTGGATGTAAGAGGTGAAGATTGAATGTACTTCTAACTGCATCATCTGTACACTGGAAATGCTTCTGTTTGTCTCTGCTTAGTCAGTGGTGCCTATAGGCATGTGGGTAGTGTGGATGCATTGCTAACTAGCTACATCTATCATTGTTATGTAGTGTATTGTACATAGTCAGTACTATGGGTTGTCAATATATTGGTCATGGTATATGACACGCTGAGATTGCATATGGTAACTGGATACTGCTGGACTGAGATTGAGGGTTTGTCTCACATGATTAGTTTCACTTCTCTTCCATGGCACCTATTATTTTCCCTTGCCTCCACTTGAGAGTTTACCATATTAGATGCTGAGCAGAGCCCTGGACTGGGGGACCCAACTTGACTCCCTTTTTACTTCCCTCTCTCAAGACTTCTCTCATTGTTAGTCCTCCCCCTTTCAATATAACACCATACTGCCTCGAGGTCACGATATAGTATTGCATTATATGGCCTGGCTGCTCACTCGTGGGACGTTCACAAGAGTGCCATTAGTATCTACATGTATGATACTGTCTATGCGGTATCTAGACATTCACTTCCCACCACAACACCAATACTAACACTGTTCCAAAGTTCCCAAAACCCAATCCACGGTGTCGTCCAATGTGGTGAGCATACAGTCTGTCAATTTCATAAGAATTCCAAACGGCATTCCTGAGACGAACCCTCCTCTGCTTTCGAGGATAGAAAGTTGGGCAAGCAGCTTATTTGAACACGACAGAATTCATCTGGGGATGGGAATCGAATTATCCGCTTCAACGCCAATTTCGTTAGTGATTCTCAATGCCAGTGTGCAAAGACGTAGACTTTTGTGTGAAGAGTCGCATCTCGCTTCACGGGCCGTAGTGTCATACATGGGGCAATGTTCAGTGACCTTGCGGAAATGGGCGATGGCGCGATCCGCAGATAGAGTGCAATGAAGTCTTGACAACACATCAGAAAGAGAAGAGCACACAGACCATTATCTGGGTTATAACACTGCTCTAACACTGCTCGTATGCCTTGCAGAACAATGTCATTCGAAGCCAAATTGTCCTGTTCACCAAGATCCACTCCGTAGTCGGAATTGCCCCCCGAGGAACACCAGACCATGTCTTGTATTGGAAGAAAGCGGGTTGATGCATGTCGTATTCTCGCTCTGCCAAGATTGTGTTCGTCGCACCAGCGATGTTTTGGTGTGTAGCGCGGGACTTGGAATCGAGAGCGCGAAGGAGAATGGAAGCCGCCTTCAGCAAAGATTCCTCCGGAACAAAAAATCAAGTAACGAGTGAAGAATTCGCCAGTCACTCCGTCGAATGTAACCCAAGCCTTTTCATCGTAATCTGGCCGCAGCATTATGTGATATTTGATGAGGTAACCACAGAGAACACAGCTCTGTGAGGCCCCCGCTCCCATTTGCCAGACAATGTTCTGGCAGATGCGCAAACGGCTGGGCTGCTCATTCGGCCCCTAGGCATGTCTCAGACTGTCAGGAAACGCCAAGAGACGAGATGTTAAGGCGCACCATCTGAATGGTCAAGGTGACGAATGTTCCATCAGGTCTCCGCACCCTTTGCAGAAAAATTGGCACCTTAGATTCAAAGGTGTTTCGACCAGACCGCTAAATGCAAACAGTACTGGAGGGGCAGATGTGGCGCCCGTCGCTGCCTAAGACGTGTCCTGGTCACGGGGGGGGAATGTCATCGGGTGCCAAGCCCAGCTCATCACATGCAGATCGCAGAAATTGCCCGTTTCATAAGAATATCGTGACTGTTCAAGCTATGCAGCTATCATAGAAAGTTCATGCTGTAGCCTGATATTTCCTTTTAAAACGCTTAGCCCGGATCTCTGACTGTCATGACATCTGGGAGTACCAGAGAATAAAATGGTGGTCAGAGTAAGTGTGGTCATGTTTCGTGAAGAACTCGAGGAGAGAGCATTGCAACAGCCAGGCAAAATGCCGTTTGTAAGGAAGAAAGTCATGGGAAAGGCGTGACTTGCAGAGGCAATAGGCGATAACCCCAACCCTGGACCTTAGCCTTGGTATCAGTATTAGTATACTCGTCCTCCGGCATCTGCTCCCTAAGAGATATCAGAGAGTTCTTCAGGAATATCGTTCGTTCGATTTGGGCTCGTCCTATGATGGTCGGATGTGATGTGCTCGCTGAAAGAGACAGAAGAATGGTGTTTGATGCAAACGAGCGAGAACTAAGGTCAGGTAGCCAACCACCTTACCTGCGAGCATTTGTCGATAGTGAACAGAGCGAGAGGATTATATATGGCCAGACGAGAACATACGCGAGCGTGTGACCAAGCAAGGGACGTTTCATGGGATCAAGCGGGATCAAAACGGGCTGGCTGTGCACGTGGCCGGTAAGGCTCAGTTGAGCGTGGAAAAAGGGCGATGGCATGTCCATAAGGGTGAGAGAGAGACACCCGTTGCCGCTGTTCGCTCCCCTCTAGATCTTCTCTTCATTAACCGGTTTTCCGGCTTTTCCAACATTTTCCACTTCAAAGGTGTGAGTACTAGTGTTCATTACCCCGCAACAGGAAATTGGGCACACGAGGAGTCTAATTACGGCACTTTTTGTGCGGTAATCTGGAAACATGCAAGACAATCCGTATTTCCATCAACCTTTCAAGGCACAACAACAACAACGGCAACAACAACAACAACAATCCACATACTACCCTCAAGTCACTTCTTGCCCCGCACCACCATCAACATCATCCTCGTCGGCGCCACAACTCCCTCAGTCAACCACCACCCACCCGGGCATGTCCCTCTCCCCGAACACCCAGTTCTCACATTCTTCAAAGCGCTCAATCTCACCCGAATCATCTCCCTCAGGGAAGAAGAAACGCCGCATAGATGACGAAGAAGATGACAAGAAGGAGAAGATAAAGCTCACTAGAGGGTCTAGGGCATGCACCGTCTGTCGCAGGCTAAAGATGAAATGCGAGGGTGCAGAGAACGGCCCGCCCTGTAAACGCTGCATCCAAGGTTCTCACGACTGCGTCTTCGAGGAAAGCATGCGCGGAAAGAGGAACCACAAGTACGTCTCGCCCTTGCCCTCCCGTCTTAGCCCAACTGACGAGGAGCAGGAAACAAGAAGCCCTCACAGGCAAGCTGCAGTCCTTGGAGCAGCAGATAAACTCCCTCCAAGCCTCCATCCCTTCCTCCACTGCCCAGAACGCCAAACCTGAGCCCTCACCACACTCTATCTCCCTCACCCCGTCTTCCCTCGTCCACTCCACCCCTGTCCAGCCGAGTCAAAGCCCGCTCACCCCTGCCCATCCCTTGCAGGAACGCAAGCCCTCGCAGCCATCGTCCGCCCCTTCCTCTCCCCTCCCCAGCCTCCCCGACAACACACTCAACCCGCTTGGCCTCCTCGCCGAAGCCTCCATCCAGAAATACCGTTCTGCACAGCGTCAACGCGAGCGGAGCACCCCCTCCCACCCCCACTCCCTGCGATCCCTCTCCCCTCCTGTCCGTGACAACGCTTTACTCGAATACGAAGACGAGCTCGCTGCCCATGCTCAAGGAATCGGAAAGGGCATTGCCGGAGAGAGCTACTTCAAGCCGGGCCCGATGACCCTCTTGCCTATCAGGAGACTTGTTATCGAACGGCAGGTACAACCCGAGATACTCGAGTTTGTCGATATGCAGGAAGTGTTCGCTTTGTTCGAGATGTGCGTCTTTCTGCCCCCTCGACCGGGCATGGCCTGCGAGTGGACCTGATCCCTTATCATTCACAGATTCTACACCAACTTGAACCGTCATTGTTGTCTCTTTGATCGGGAAGTCCACACACCGCCGTTGATTTGCTCCAGGTCCCCATTCCTCTTGACAGCTAGTACGTCCCTTCGTTTTCTCCCGCAAGGCGCAGTACTGACACGCACTAGTCTGCGCCATATCGAGCAAATTCTATAAAGGGCGAGAAGACAACGGAGAGCTCCAAGGAAAGCTGAATAATGTCGCCAAGAAGCTCGCTTGGAGTACCCCCGCCCAGGGGTATAAGAGTGTCGAGGTGCGTTTTGTCCTCGTGCGATACTGCCGGGCTGTTCTGAGGCGAGACTGCGCTTGCTCGCGCTCGCTCCCGTCCCCGGAGTGCTCGCACTTCCCCTACCCACCCCGTTTTACAGTGCTCACACTCCCTAGATCGTCCAAGCCTACCTCCTCCTCGCCCTCTGGGGAACCGGCCCTGTCCAGCGCTTCGAACAAGACCGGACCTGGCTCCTTTTAGGCATGGCCATCCGCATGGCGACCGACCTGAACCTACACCGCGCTTCGCCCACGTCCATCCCCCTCTCCGGCACGTACGTGGGGTACGACAACGAGCTGGAAGAAGAGAACGGGCGGAAGAGACGGAAGAGGGATAAGGCGGATATTGCCGAAGTCAGGAATCGAGAACGGACTTGGATATTGTGTTACAACTTGGACAGGAGCTTGAGTGCTCAGATGGGAAAGCCCTATTCTATACAGGAGGAGTGAGTCCGTATCCTCCTTCTCTTGGAAAGAATATTGATTGGCCTAGCTATATTATCAGGAACGCGGGGCTCTGGGCACAGCACCCGGATGCGCTCCCCGGTGACAAGGCTCTCTGCGGATTCCTGGTATGGCTCTTCACCGCCCCTCAACCAGCCAGACGCTGAGACACGAACGTACTGCAGGATTATCAGCGGATCCTTTCCCGCTGTGTCGAGTTCTTCTACGCCGGCACATCCGACCCGTCAGGCTTGCTCAAAGCCTGTGATTGGAGTACCATCATCAAGGCTTACGAAGCGCAGTTAGCAGCCTGGCGAGACGGGTTCCACAAAGCTAGAGAGTGCGTTCCTTTTTTCTCTGGGAACGGACAACGCTGACGGGGTCTGTCCCTGCCTTGCAGCCAGGAAGTGTGGGTCGGTAGGTCGCACACCCAGCCCGGACCCGCCCCCACTGACCAACGCCCTTCGTTGTTGTGGCCCTCAGACCCCGACGTAAAATATCGCAAAATGGTTTCTGCACTGCAGCATAATTACAGCCTTTTGGTGATCAATACTTTTGGTCTGCATCACGCGCGCGAGCACTCGCACGTCGATGTCGCCCATTTCTTCTCCCGCTGCTACTCCACAGCAGTAGAGTGCGCACGCATCATCACCGAGCAGCTGGGTCCGAGCGGATACCTTAAGTACTCGCCAGACAGCCACTTCGTTCTCTGCTCATACGCAGTCATCACCCTGCTCAAGGTGCGCCGCGCGGTCTTCCCTCCCCTCTTTTCACCCCTAATCAGCCTACAGCTTGTTCGTCTCGAGTTTGAGAACTATCTCCCCACGGGCGTAGACCCGATCAAGAACGTTCGTGATGCTGCAGATGTCCTCGCCAAGGTCGCTGTCAACAAGTACCATACACCAGCACTCTACGCCGCCTTCCTTCGCGCCCTTATCAATGTTCGTGATGGTACTTCTGGTCCAGCGACGAGGCACACGAGCGTAGCCCCTACGCCTGGGCCTCCCCCGCATAATGCGAGCTCCACTGGTGAGGTGCTCGAGCCGTTTGTTGAAGTGATTGGCGAGCCTACAATACACATCCCCCATACTCAGCAGCATGAGACTGCCCCGCCTATACCAGTGACGGAGTACAACATGGTCCACCATCCGATGGTGTACGGCGAGGGCATGACACCCTTCCACTACACCTTCCAGCCCCCGACCGCGCCTGCTCTCTCTGCTACTGCCCAGCCCAATCAGACGCAAGTCACTCCAGACTTTGCAGAGTATGGATTCGGTACCAACGCTGGGCTCAGTGGGAACGGCATGGACGCAGACGAGCTGAGCAATCTAAATGGTCCCTTTGGGGGGATCCTGACGGATGCGTTCTGGGATAGTGTACTTATTCCTGGTCCGTATTGTCCTTTTTCTCAAACGGAGGTGCTGATCTTCCGAACAGGGTATTCGAATACGCTCGATCTTAGTGGAGGGTTCGTATTTGGCTCTGGAGGCAGCGGACTTATAACGCCTCGTATCGGATCGCCCCCGTTCCTGAGTACGACACTCGATTTTGGAACGGACAGCCTGCAGCATCGCTGAGCGAGAAGAATTCAGTCATCTTGCCTATTGATATAATGCTTTAGATACAGTACATTCCTTCGGTTTGTAGCGCTAGATTTGGTTTGTCTTCCTAGCCTGTCCTTCGTACATGTGTTGTAGCAATGGCGTATCTAGCCTCACCCTTATTTAAAAAGTTTGTACCCAGGCTAATCAGCCACAGTCGAGAAGCTGCTGCCGCTCTGCTTCCCATGTTCGCCATTCTCTGCCATATGATGTTGTGGGCATGAAAATAGAATTTGCGTCTCAAGTAGCTTATCTATCTGTCGAACCCCACTCGATGGAAGGTGTCTCAGGAAGGCTTGAGAAGGAGTAAAGATAGGCATTGAGACGGTGAGGCGTATTTGGATATATACTTTTTTTCCAGACTCTAGGACACGCTGTTAGACCAGGGATGGGGATAGGCTTGTGGAGGGACAAGGAGCCTTCGGGATTTCCAAGGCATGAAACGCTACAGAGGCCGTTGTTGATGGCTCAACTGAACCGGAGTTGTCCAATGAAAAGGAGGCTCACGAGCCACCAGGCGCCAAGCAGTGGCATCGAACACGACTGGGATTGGAGACACTCCACCCAGACGTAAGCATATATGTTGTCCAATAGTACAATGGGAACACGCAAAAAATAGCAAAGTATCCTGATTGCTTTACTCTGCTCCCCTGGACTGTGCAACGGCACATCTCAATCCACTTCTCACTGAGTCTTATAGCTCAGATCGACCGTGAGATCTCCCTCCTTGTTGAACTCCACACCCTGCATATAAAACGTGTTTCCTCCAGAGAAATGGAATCCCCATGGGCCGTTGAGTAACAGATGGCAAGCGCTCGCAACCTGCGAAATGGGAAGGGCCTTGAGGGAACCAGAAATGGCGTCGGTGATGCCGTCCAGAGAGCCATGGTGGAAGAGAGTGTCGTCCACACTGCCAGAGACAGAGGGGACAATGCTGGCAGGGGATTGAGTAATATTGAGACCGCCAGCTTGGACGGAAGCGAAGACAAGCTTGCAAGACCAGCTCGCAGAGTAGTCAGAAGTCCTGCAAACAAGAAATGCAAAACGGTTAGGGTCAGCACTGCCCTTTCAAATGACGACAGGAAAAATGACACGCACTCCGGAGAGCCGGTGAGCTCAACCTGCATCGAGGTATGCACCGAGGTGGTGCCGGATAGCGAAACGACACACTGCCCCTGGTCGTTCAGGCCCCATGGCACAGAGATCTTGTTGGTCACGCTGGTGCTTCCAATTGTCGTGTGCGTCTGGGAGATATCTGTGTGATCGTCTCCTTGCTTGCTGGTGTAGTTCCAGATGTAATTGATGCTGCTGGTATTATCGGCCGAGGTGTCGAGCTGCCAGGCGGTATTGGTGCCGGAGGTGACGCCCTGTGTCCAGGTGAACGAGTAGTAGCATGAGATGACTTTGACGTCCCAAGACCAGTTCGCGCTAAGCATCGTGACAGCGGTGAGACTGTTGAGCGTCTGAAGCTGAGGAAGGAGCCAGCCTTCAAGGAAAACATTCTTGCCGAGGACCATAAGACCGTCGAGAGCCGGCTCGTTAGCCGTCGGAGGGATGACCCAGTTGGTCTACGAAGTCAAATGCCCATATCCTGGTCAGATGTACTCTATCCCGTTATACCCATGCGCACGGAGGCATGAAGCTGTGTATACGCACCAGAGGCTGCAGCAGGCCTACTCCGGGAAAAGAGTGTTTCTGCGTCATTTCTAGATACACGAGCATATTGTTATCTCCAACAGGGCTCGGCGCACCGCTTGGGTCCGCGGTGCCGGTCGTCGGGTCGATGTATCCCAAGTTCTGGAATTTAAGAGACGTGGGTGGCACAGTCGGAGCTGTACCCCACTGGCCGTTCGGGGTAGCACCATTAGCATTGGTCGTCATGATGTAGCCGAGCACCGAGTTGTTGCCATTCGTGCTCTGAGTTTGAGTAGTGATCCAGTCCTGCCACATGTTCGAAAGTTGAGTTTTCCCGTAAGTATCGGTAAGGCCGGGCGTAACGGATGCGACACTGTTTGTCACAATGTTGGCGGCTGTACGCAGTCAACGAGAATCAAAGCTGAGTCAGTAACTCGGGAGGGTCGAGGTAAAACATATGTGACGCACTGGTGAAATCGAACACCAATTTGAGGACACTGTAGTCTCCGGGTTGCAAGATCTGGTTTCTGATGGCGAGGGGTATATCTTGGTCCTCCGTAGCAGGGTCCAAGCTCAAATCGACGGTGAAAGTGAACTGCCAGTCATTGGCCGAAACAGTATGTTGAGTCGAATTCTTGCCAAACCCTGACCACCAGGAGAAGGTGTTGAGCGGTGCAACACCACCGTCGTTCTATTACAACTGTCGGGTCAGTAGAAAACCTAGCTTAGGACAGATGAGGCCGTACCGCAACGGTAATCATATAGTTGACTTGCTGGCTGGTGGAGCTACCTGTAAGAAGCTCAACTTCGCTCCCCAAAAGGTTAACATGGAGTTCTCCGCCGCCTACACAAACAGCCAACGCCCAATCAGTCATGCGCTCCGCCCACCAGTGAGTATCAGCACGCACTATCGTTGTCCACTACATCGACCTTCTCCAGGCCGGGGTACAGTGCGGGAAATGCAGCGAGCTGGAAGTTAATTGCCCCTTGCGTCACGACCGTGATCTGGTCGTATCCGGCCAAAGTGGACTTAAGGATGCGCGAAGACTTCATCGCAGCGGACTGGGCGGCGGTAATGCTTGCCATTGCTCTTTGGATGTCGTGTATGTTGTTTGCAGAGTGATGTGTCTCGGTTTGAAGGGAGCGTTGTGTTGACTTGTTGACATATGAGATTATATATACGGTGGGACGTTATGGAGCCCCATGAGTTGTCCCAGCGGTAATCCCAGCCCCATGGGCCTTCAGAGCGACAAAGGCAATCCTCAACGCACAGCATAAAGTTGAGTTCGAACGGAGAAAAGGGTTCGTGTATAGTTCGTGTACGAATGGATGTTGTGCGGCGAGTTAAGCGACTCTTCATGGCCAGTCCTCTGCGAAAAGCGGGGGTCGAAATTGGACCAGAATCGAAGGCAAAACGGGTTACCATCCAGCTGACGAACAACGGCTTGATACAAATGAGGAGAGAAGAGACCAGCTGCTTCCAACTGGCAACAGATGAGCCTTCGACCCGCTACTGACAACCCGTGGCACAGCGACCACCGCAAGCGGCTGGCGTTTGAGCATTTCTTCTGCCGATGTTTCGACTAGCACGAGCGCCAGCCGCAAGCCCCATATCCATGGAGTGAGTCGAAACAGAAAGGAGGATAAGTGCAGGGAAGGGGATTGCCGTCATTAGGGATCACAAGCGGCCGCAGGGGACATGGGCGCTTCAATTGGGCCGTGTCCCTGGTGCCCCAATAAACAAACACCCAATCTCACTTCATTGCTTTGTCTTGGCACTGGATGCGCTGGCATAACCCTCGCTCGAGTTGGCAAGATTAAAGCAAAAACACCTCTTGTTTCCATTTGTAGATACATGTCATTGGTGTGAAAGAAAAATGAGTTTGTAATAGGGCATGTTGCGGAAAAAAGTATTTGCACCATGAAGTCGCCCTTCCGCACCCTGATGCGTCCTTTCCCCTTCCCCCCCTGTTTGGGTGGATGGTCATCGCGCTCTCTTTCGTGTTCAATTTCGAGTTGCCACTCACATACTCAAGATCAATGCGGGGCGGGCCGTGACCAACTCGCCTTTGGCGTCGGGCGACGGACTCCCTCTTGACGGCGCGGACGACGAACTCGCCATTGACGTCGTAGACCTCCGCCTACTCGTCTGTGATATTTTGCTCAACGGTGCAAGGATCGCTTCCGGGAACACCGATGGTGCCAGTTCTGGAGTATGGCTTCTTTCATTCCGTTGCTGATGTCGTGTTCTGTCTGCATACAATGTACAGGCAGGTTTCCAACCTTGCCATTCCGACGGTGGCTCGAGGACCAAGTCCTCCAACGTCGAACGCGAACGCGATGAGCACACGGACATGGTCGGGTGCTTGAGAATGAGGGGAAGGGCAAAGGGAATACCGAGGAGGCGGAGCGAAGGGGAGAAGAAGCGTACGCGGGAGAAGGATTCGCGCGCTGTTGATTGTAAGACGCACATCTTTCTTCTGCCTGGGAGCTACCTGTCATGCTGTTTCCAATGCACATCCAAACATTATCTGTCCGCTGGGACGATGGCGTTCGAGTCACTTCCTACTGGAAACGGACTGGCCGTGTTCGCAGTTAGGGGCAGCAAGCGAGAGCACCACATTGCGTTGTGAGCGCTCCGATGTCTGCCTGACCTGATCAGAGAGCCGATCAGACTCATGGACCCGGCTTGGAAAACGCCCACATCTTAATCGCATTCGCCAACAAAACGCTGGATGGCCCTGAATTTTAAGAGCTCCGGGCAAGCTCCGCCGCACGCTCCTGAAATGTGCCTAGTGGCCTTCTCGAAGTCCACGAGGGTCAGCTTGCCTCGCGTATCCCTCAAGATGTTGTCGAGGTGAAGGTCGTTGTGCACCACATCGCATTTGTGGACTCCGTGCAGCAGCTCATACACCTCCTGGCTGTGTTTTCGTTAGCTACGTCAACTTGACCTGCTCGACACACACCGATTTGAAGTCCAGGTACCCAACGGACTCCCTTCGTAACTCAGTATGAGCATAAGACCTCTGCCAAAGTTGAACAAGCCGAGAGGCCGAGGCACGCCATTACCCCACAACGGCCCCAGCCGATCATATACCGCAGATTCCTCTCGGAGATTGGATGCAAACTCTAGCGGAGCGATCTTGGCGACGACAGGGGTTTCACCGAGATTCCCTCTTAAAACATAGGACACCATGGGTACTGGCTCGAGAACGAGATTCTCCAAGTTCCACCGCTTGCCATCAAAAAAACCGACTTACCGGAAGTCCGCCTTTGACAGGCGATCGCTAGGCGCTTCACTTTGACAGGGCGAGGCAGAGGAATATGAGCGCAAAGTCGTAGGATAAGGGCTCTTTCCCAGAGTCTCAATGTGGTGATAACTTCCGGGCTTGGAGGCTGTCGCTAGAGGTTCATTGCCAGAGGACGCGGCGGGGCCGACTGATGCTGAGCGATGCAGTGGGAACGTGTGCGCCACCAGGGACTCGATGTCCGATTCACCATAGGGCTCACTCTCAGCCACCTGGGAATGGATGTCCGATTCAGAATCAGGCTCGCCCTCAACCACATCTTCCGAACTTGCTATGTAGCCGGATTCGTCATCATTGGCCGGATCGTCTGAATTGTCGACATCGGATTCCCCCATTTGATCGGCAGCCGAAGGCGACGAGTCTGTGTTGAAGAGTTCGATGTGTCGTGCAAATATCTCGGGCAGAGCCTCTTGCAAATAAAGCGGTAGGGCCTGAAAATCACGTCGAGCCGCGGAAGATCTGTCGGTGGCCATGCGAAGGAGCAGTAAGCCGATTACAGCAAATTGTCGCACATCCCCCTGGAAGATTGCGACCTCTTCAGCCGTCAGATCTGGCTAGCGAGTACTAAGTCTTACCTGGATCGGTTCGCTTATCCACAGCTGGGTGCCATTTTGAACGCACAGACACAGCGAGGAGTCGGAGGCCAATAAACCATGTCTGCATTTGGAAATGTTGAAATAGGTGCTGAGCTGAAGGGACAGCGTCAGACCATGACTGGACAGGGATACGTCGTGAGACTTACCTGGGTGATTATGCATTCGTAGTGGTGTATTTTTCTCTCGCCACTTTCCCCCGTGAACGTCCACCTCCCTCCCTTCTTACCCTTGGCTGTGGGGTACTGAAAGGCCTTCATGAGTCCAGGTTGTAGCATGCCCTTGCGTTCAAAAGGCTCGGCCTTGTGTTGCCTCAGGGCAGACAAATTGCGTAAAAATCTCGTAAAGACTTCGAATGTCTTGTCCTCGATTTGGGTGGCGACCGACACGTCCCATTTGGCCATGTTCTTAGGGTGGCTCACTATGGCGATGTCCAGCGTGCTGTTGCCGACGGAATGTCCCGCGCTGAAATAATGCGTGACGGGCTGTGCACCATGCTGGGATAGCCACGAGAAGAATAGCGAGGCCGGGTTGGCGAAGTACAGTTCATGAGCGACATCGATCCGGACTTTTCGACTGAGCAAGTGATGGGACGTTCCGGCCGCAATATCCGGCCCGTAGCAATAACTCCACATAAGGCGTTCAGTGGAGTTCGAGCCCTCGAGAAGCCTTTCGAGAGGTTGATGAGTCTCGGTCAGCTCAAGAACCTTCTTTGCAGCATCCACAACGTCGTTAAGATCTTTGCTGTACACCAGAGCCTTCACTCTGTTCTCTTCCTTGGCAACAGCGAAGTCGTTCTGCGACGGCATACGAGTCTTGAAAGCGGCAAAATGGTTCCTGGGTAGCTTGTTGGTGGAAGTTTTCTCTCCGATCAAGTCGCTGTACTTGATGAGAGGCGGGATGTGGCCCGTGAACATCTTCAACCAGGTTCGGCCTGTGTTAGCATCCTCGTGTAGAGACCGCAAGATTCGGTCCCCTGGAGAAGGTGATCTGCCGAGAGCGACGTGGGGAGAGACTGCCAGAACATGACGAGCGGCGGACAACCGTAGTGCCCTCATGGGCGGGAATTGGAGCGTCGAAGCGTGGGCCGGCTTCAATTCCCCGGATGAAAACTGCAGAGGGCGCAAGCTTCAGGTGATTATAATATGGGGCGCGCCGGAATATTGTAGAACTCAGAACACTCGTCAATGTTGAACTCTGGATCACCCACCGTTCACGCCATACGATACGATACGATGTGCTAGCCTTCTCACCGAACGGAAAACGCGCCGATTAGTATGATCGAAGCACGTTCGAGTCAGCACGCATCTTAAGAATGTTCGAGAGATAAGAGGTCGCATCGATATTGGCTGGCTCGTATGACCAGAGGCGGTACCGCAACAATGATCTGAGAGTATCATTAGCTGCCCCCACGCTGCTCTTGGTCATTCTCTCCCAGACAATCCGATCTGCCAAATGGAATTACTTTGGATTGTTGGCATCAATAAGCAACATTGAACTCTGAAGGATTCCCGTCCCGAGCACTCCAACATGAGGAATTATGCCTCTATATGTAGATGCATCCACAATTGCTTGCGGATCCTGAGGCTGAACAATGGGAATATCACTGCTCAGAGCCCTGAGAAGTAAAATAGAAGTTCTTTAACGCCTTGTATATATACAACTGCTGCTGCGTTGACACCCACTTCAACTTCCTTTGCCAACCCCTTAACTCGAATCGCATTTCACTTGCACATTTGCCATGTCTTATATACCTGTACCGGGCCGCAAGAGGAAGACTTCTTCCAACTGGATTGTGGGCGACACGTGGTACCCGGAGTTCCGGGTCACAATTGATGGAGTCAAATACGAATGCCGTGTGGAACGTACGTAACTCTCGACAAGCCGATACGGCATACAGACTGAACCATTTCCAGACACTGCTGCTGCGAACAACAAGGTGGGACGCGCGCATTTCATTTGCTTAGCAACGACGTGTTGATCTCTGTTCCAAAAGCCAAATGTTGGAAAAGACTGGGGATCATACTGGAAAGTTGTTGCTTGATATCGCGCGATGATCCGCTCCTGCAAAGCAGAACTGCCTGGAGGTGGATTTGGGAAAACGTGGTGAAGGAGTCATTATGACGTGTCTACTCTAATTTGTTAGCAAGTATGTAGCAAATGCGACATGAGCGTGTATTACCGTAGCGAAAGACATGTGATTGCCTTTATTGCTTCAGGCTTCAGGATGATGAGCTCCGGTCGATATGCCCGACCCAACAAGACCGCTCCGAACCACGGGTAGGAGCAAGTTTTCAGGCGACAAGATGAAGAGACTGCAAAGAAAATCGGTAGACGAGCGGATCTTTGAGGAGAATACTAATACGGGACTTGAGATAGACTGGAGCCAACCAAAAGGAGAGTCGAAGAGATGACAACTTCAGATCCAGTAGCGAAGAGACCTGGAGATGTGATATTGACATGGTAGCACATCAAAGAGAGGTATGAACCACAAATTCAATAGTCATAGAATGAGGGAGAAGACAAGCCGAGTACATGCACTAACAGCAACGTCGTGCAGCAAGAGGTTGGGCTCACGTCCAACTGAAGGCGATACCTCGGAAGGACCCTATTGGCTTAGTCAGAAACCTTATTTGGTGCAAGACGGAGGCAACAGTGAAAATCCCTGGCTGCTCTTTGACCGGCGGTTGTGCACGGAAATAAAATGCTTAGCTTCCAATATTGGGATCCTCTAGGAAAATCATTTGTCTCCGTTTGCCTTTAAAATCCTTTTGCTTCCACGCTCAGATTTGCTTCCAGTTTCCCTCAGTTTTTCCGGTTTTCTGTGCTCCTTGCTTCAGTTTGTTTGGTTTCAGTATGCAGGTTTTCTTCATTCTGCCCCTGTCGGTCCTTGAGCAATGACAATAGGAGTAAGATATGGGGCATTTTAAGCTTAAATCTTTCAAAAAAACACAATTTTTGCAAAACCAGAAAAATTGCAGGACCCGGTTCTTCTTGGTGAGAAAAACCGGAAGACCCGGTTCTATTTTTTTAGAACTGCTGGGGACACAGAACCAGATAAACAGGGCACGGGTGCAAACGGAGTTATATTCTCTGAAAGAGACTAATGGAGGCAACAATATACCTCCGCGCACAGCCGCCGGCCAAAGCGGCCCCGCCGCTTGCCGCCCCCACTGCAGGGCCCCCAGGATTCGTACGGTGTCATGATCACTGCCTGGGTCGAAACGTTCATGAAGCGTCCTCCCGCCTTCTTGTATTTCATCTAACGCGGACAGGATGCCTTTCTTGCAGCTCGTGTCAGCCTTTTGGACCTGGCTGGTCGGAGCCGAACATCCCGGGCTTGAGTCCTCTGACATGTCGAACCCCGTTGTGCTCATGTACGAAGGCAAGGTTGACGTCAAGTTTTACTGCTACTGCACCTGATCACGACTCACTATTTCACAGAACATTTGGCCGGAAATAATTAGGCTCGGCAACATCAGAGCTGCGCTGAAAGGACGATTGCCAGACCTAAAAGATGAATGCACGCGGCTCACACCGCTAGACCACGGTGAGCCCATTTCGTCGGACGGAATGCTCGGCACCTGCTCATCAAAACCACGCAGGAGCATCACATGTGGTCGTTATCTCCTCCACAAAGCCCCTATCGTCTGCATGCTCACCGAGGTGTAGATAGTTATGGTCGAGACCCGCATGGGGAAAGAATATATTGTTCGGGTCACCGGCACCGATCACGACGATTTCATGTTCGCGCAGCCATTCTGGCAGGAATACAAGGAGTTATCCGAGGTACGATGCCGTACGCAATGACGATCCAATTCACATGGTCCCACAGGTTTCTTCCATGCTGGCATTGCGGAAGTGCACGACTATACCTGTACCGCACGTCTACTTCGCTGACAAAGACGAGCACCATCGCGTTGGTGGGTTTTGGACGCTGCAGGAATATGTAAGGTTATCCTTTGGTCATTCCCAGGATCTTACTCTGAGTAGATGCCCGGAGAAAACCTCTGGGATTTGTGGCCGCGGTTATCTCACGGTGCTCGAGTGCAAGCTATCAAGCAAGTTGCCGATTGGATGCTGGAGCTGTTTCATCTCGAATTCGACACGATCGGTAGTCTACACTGTACGAGCGATTTTGAGGGCGTACGAAATCTTTCGGACAGTGATCTTAACTTTCACGTTGGTAGCATGGTCACACTGCGCGGCCTGCCGTCTGGGGGGATCTTGGGACCGCCCAGAAATCCCGGTCCATGGCGCGACGCTCGGGCATGGTTGAAAAGCACGGCACAAGGCGACATGGAATTCCAGCGCAGAATAAAATCGACACCCGTTCCAGAATACATTGACAAGGTGAAAGCGATAATCGATGAACCCCAGGAACTCAACGGCCTTTTCCTCAGCGGGCCGCTCAGTGTCAACGTCCCCTTTGCGCTCGACATGTGGAACTTCAGGAATATCAAGGCACAGCTTGAAGGAGACACGCTTACTCTGACGGCTCTACTGGATATGGAGGGTATGCAAATACTGCCTCGATGGGTGCTTGGCCAAGCCCCGCGTATCGATGACTTGGAGGCGGATATGTCGGATCTGTTGCTCGAGCTCTTGCTCAATGATCCCGTGTTCAAGCTCGCTCACGAAGATGGGTCGCATGCGCGCCACTTGTTTGTCTTGGCTACCCGTGCCACTATGTCCAAGCCTATGGATGAATGGATCGAAGAATTTCGCAACCGCGTTTGGGAGGACGTGGCAACCATGGGAGGGTAATGCAGTAATGCTTGGATAATATAGATTACACATCGAATGGATGGGATAGTTGATCATATGTAAACCTGCTGTGGACGATCCAGTAGATACCCGAGCGTTAGCTGGAAGACAGCTGATGGCCCGATGGTAATGGACCTAATCGCTGCACATCGCGGCAATAGCGGCGCGGAGCGTCGCAGCGTATTTGAAGCAATGGCACAAGCGGCCATCTTCGTTCAAAGTACGTATCGTTGTGCAGCTTCTTGGGGCTTAGAAAGGCCGGGTGTAACGGATGCGACACTGTTTGTCACAATGTTGGCGGCTGTAGGCGTCCAGATGCGTCGCCTTATGGTGTAGCATTGGCTTTATTGTAGGTGACAGCGCCCCGAACAATCAACAAATTTGCCCTGGGACTCGGACTCGATAGACGTTACTTACGTTGCTCAGCTTATCTAGGGTGAGCCTTCTGACAACTCGGATGTACAAACGGTGGAGAATATTATGCTGAATATGTGTCTAACGTTCAAGACCTTCAGCAGGAGGGCATTCTGCGTGGAAGCAGCCGATTTCCACGTCCTTCCAACTTCTATACAATCTACATACACCATCGAAGAATTCGGAGAAGCTGTAAAGACCAGACGTGACAACGGAATGAAGGCTTGAGATGCGGGAGATCTTCCCGACCTGGCTATGATCATCGATCTCGAAAAGCGGGGGGACGGGATCAGGCGATAGCTTCGTCCATGCTTCCTTAAATTGTCGTACCACGTCGGGCAGATACGCCACGCGGAATAGATAGTTCGGTCCAGCGAAAGCGAGCTCCCAGTCGATGACCGCCATGATCTTCGCACCCCCGCATCCGTCCCGGCACACCAAGATATTTGAGGATTGAAGGTCAGGATGTATGAGGGCTAACCGGGAGGAGCCGAGTTGTTGAAAATGCTCCGATGTTGCCAACCATCGCCGGAGATCTTTGTAGCAATGGAGAGCGAAGGAAATCTGGTTGGTGGTAAATTTCGGCAGCTTTAGTTGACAGATTGAGGTTTGTGGTGAATGGAGCCGTTCAATCTGCGTGTCAATGAGGGAGTAGTACCACGCTTGCACAGAGGAAGACACAGGTGCGCTGAATGGCGGCATGAACCACTGCATTTCACTTCCCCAGGATTTGATTTCGTACGTCGAGCTGCAGGGATATAACGCGCCGATCTCTTTGAACGTGATGTTGTTCCACTCTTTCGTGATCTGGCTTAGACATTCCCCATATGAGTGAAGCTCTGTGAGAGTAAGGCTACGGAGCCAGACTGGCTCGGCGTCGATCTACCTGATTTAAACCTCTGAAAGTGACCGGCACGCCCGTGCTTACCCATTGTTCAACAACGAAAGGAGGCACGCCGTCGTCGCGTTCGACGCTGTATCCGTGCACGGTCGGCACAGGGATCTTCGTATGTTCTCCCAAGAAGCGTAAGACGGCGAACTGTGTAATCAGTTCAACCGATATCTGACGGCGCAGAATGAAGAAAAACACTTCGCATGAGACGCTGTTGCACATCTCCTGCCAGTCACGTTTTACTGAATGCCCAAAGGCGTAGTCCGATCGGCAGACGCGAGCAACCACTGGGGCCCGCTCATCGGATTCCTTGGGTACCATGAAGAAGACCAGGCTCCCAATTTGCTTAGCGGTTCTCCCAAGCGTATTGAACAAAAGTAGGAACGCACCAGTTTGCTCCCTCCTGTCGCGAACCATAACGCAGCCGTAAAGTCGTACTTGGCTACCCGGCTCACCGCCTTGATTAAACAGGGAATGTCGATGGACGCCTTTGAGTCTAAGTAATTCTTGGCTACGTTTGGACGCGGGTGGGTGATCCATGTCTGCTCGTAGATGATAGATCTGTTGAGCATGCGAGCGATATCGGACACCATGGTAGATTCATTGCGAACCATATAATACGGCCAGAGCGGGGTAAAGTTCAGTTGGAGACCCCGGTCACCGCCCTATATATACATATATATATATACCTGTGAGTTCGCGTCCTGAAATGCTGATCGGACCGATCTACCCGAGTGCGGTTGTTGGGAGGGCCGGTACTGGGATGTGACGATGGTTGCACACGGGCGAGCACTCGCCGTCTCCGGCCAGCCCTGTCTCGTCGACCGTGACAGTGGGTGGATATAACTTAGTTGGCATCGGTTTAAGATACATGTCTTATTAATGGTGCGTCCGCAGCGTAAGTGTGACTCGTCTATGAGACGGTACCATTGACATGCTCCAGTGCCAAGCCAGCATTGTCCTCTTCTGCTCCGCGCGCGACAGGTGTTCGAGCTCAAGAGGAGGCGAGATCCTGTATCTTCTTGCGATGTGCGCGAGAAAGCAGATGCCTTCGAGTGTCGCGAAGCGCTGTCCTGGACAAGAGCGAATACCCACAGCGAACGGCGTCCCTAGTCCTGGTTGGGTGCGCAGTTGACGTCAGCAGAGGCAGGTAATGATGATGGGAAAGGCGAAACTCCACACCCACCCCCGTGCCCGTCACTCTCGCTGCTCTCTCCCAGCACCACATCATTATCATACTTGAGCGCTCGTGACGGTGACTCGGCAATCATGTCGATAATCTGCGCCTTGAGCGAGTCGAACACACTCTGCGTCTCGCAGAGTACGCGAATTTTTCCGAGGAAGGGGATGCCATATGCCCAGTCAGGAACGGTCAGCTTGACGAGGATGTTGGACGCGGTGAGACCGCTCGCGTGGTGGAGGGCCATCCGTCTGCTTTTGTGTGCCTGCGCGTCCGGCGCAGGCTCAGGCTTTGGGACAGGTGCCGAGAAGGAAGAGGAGCCAGGCCGCAGGTTCTGCTCTGGGAAGGAAGCCTTGAGAGCAAAGAGCACGGACCTGATGACAGAAACGGCGATTTGCGGCCGTTTTGTCAGTCGTCGCTCAAGCTCGAGCAAAGAAAAACGACAAAGGCGGGCCGCACATTCTTCATGTCAGCCTTTGCATCGACCACGAGGGCTTGCCCTGGCGCAGTGTGCAAGTCCACCCTGTCAAACCACTCGCGTACAAAGGCGCGTCGCCGCATTCCACACGAACATGTTGATTTCCTGCATCGTCGGTATCAGACATTGATGGCGTGCAGAGGGCGGTAAGTGCGCGGACGCAAGGGAGACATACCTCTTTGAACGTAGCCTTTGCGACGTCCCAATGGCGTTTCCAGTGTGCATCAGGCGCAGAGACGATGTTCTCGCCGTACAAGCCGACGAGGCGGTACTGTCTCCTGGCGAGCATATCGCGGAGGAGAGAAGTGGGGTTTGATACTGGGCCTATTACTCCCCCCTTCTGGTGTGTGCGGAGCGGGAGTGTACATACATACCCTTTCCTGGCGAAGCTCGACAGGGCGCGTATCCGGTGGCCTGGGGTGAGCCGGGAGGACGAGGGGCGTGTTCGTGAAAGGCCGGGAACCGAAGAGATGGGCAATACCGCGCTCAACTGAGAGGTCAAGTTCTCTTACACTCCTGCTCCTGCAAGCATCTGCATACTCGAAGGTCAGTATGAGCGTCCTTCCTAAGAGGCGGCGAGAAAGGAACAAATCCAGGCACAAGATGTTTGAGCAAGGCAACCCTCATCAACTCCACCCGTTGATCCTAAGTGTCCATCTCCTGGTACGGCTTTCGGAGCTCAGGGCAGGGCTCACGTTCATGACAGCGCACCCTCTCTTCTTCACACCGCTCCTCTCACCCCTCTCACCCTTGCCACTGCCGAAACCGGAGTCGGGGAAAAACTGGGAATGCACAACCCCGACTCCCCTCTCTTTGCACCACTTCCCATGCAACCTCTTTCAACGCCAATGTCAGAGCTAATCCCGGATCTCTCTACTCTCGTTCTTGCCTTGCGTACACGCGTTTGTTGGCAGGGCGCCCGCGGCCTTGACCTGGGCTCGGAGTGGGAGAAGAGAGTCGTTTAGAAGGAGGATGCGGTTGGGGTGTACGCGTATCACTAGAGTCGTTAGTGAACTGGACGGCAAAAAAGTAATAACCCTGAATTGCCTCCACCTTCTAGAATTGCTTCCATCTTGGAGGAGAAGATTTTAATTCGTTGCAGAACCTTTTCTTGTAATTAGTGTTTGTTTCCTGATTGATATTCTACAATGACTTACTAGGTGAACATCGCGGCTGTGTTGACAGTGTCGCTTTTCCCTCTGTAGTTGGGTTCCCTCCATCTCAAGGACTGGAAGCCTGCCACCTGGTTTTCTGTTAGTCCTAGTGACTTCGTTGTCCGACCGTGTTCTTGCTAACCATGTCAGGCTCAATGACACATCAAAGAGGAGTGCTAACCATGAATTCAAATTTCATCATGCACCCTGCCTTCTAAGATTCATCTTGAATCGTTCCCTCTACACAATTCAAACCGGCCACCCCACGCTTCCCGAATCTCCATTCAAGATACTCTGACGTCGGCAGCAATATGCACGCGGTTTGCCACTTTGGTTTTGAATTCATACCTCGGTTCTCATTACGTATCAGGATGTGGTGACTCAGAATATGTTCTTCGAAGTTGGCAAGTGGCTGGACCACGGGTCCCTTCCGGCATTGTACTCAGAACAATGAAGGTAGGGAGGCTTGCTCCATCCAAAATGCTAGCTTCCTATGCCGGCCACTTATGTGATTCCTGGCACTAGCCCTGACAACGGCTTGCGAGCTGTCAACGGGTGACCTCCATACGAGTCTCAACTGACGGTCAGTCCGCATGTGACGTATCCCCTGTATCGTGGATAGGCACATCAGAAGCTCACTCGTTCGACAGGCAGGGGTAAGGGGCAGGAACACCCCTGGACCTGATATTCTGTGAACCGAACGGCCTCAGACGTCCGTACAACGCGTCTAGGTGGTTGCATCGTGGGCATCCCTTAAGGCGGCCGAATCTTCCGATTCGGGTTGGCTGGCGCATCTCCATTTTCATCCTAATGCGTATGAGCAGCCGCTGTGTCACGGCATTTCGGCTGATTGGTTGTGCACTCCATCCGTCGATCCATTCGAGGTGCTTCTTGGTGTCAAATACCGCGAGAAGGAACCAGCCGCAATAGAGCTTCCACCCTAATTGGACTTGTAGCCCACCCGCTAACAGCTGCAATAACAGGAGTCGAGACCACCGGTTCCCTGCATGGGTTGTGTACATTGTCGAAACATGTTTTGGATTGTCCATTAACCTAAGTACACCGTGGCACATCTGTCTAGTGCCGTGACTGGTGCACCTATTATTCTCCGACCCAGCATTAATCGGACGCAGTAGGCTGATAAACCGAGCCCATGACATTGCTGGTGCTTCCTGACACCATGATGTTTCTGCTTTCTGTGAGTCTCGTTTCTAGGCCGGGGCTAAGAGATGAAATGGCTTGGATAACTTGCTCCTGAACGAAGGGATATATGCTCTCCCCTTTCAGTGGATTGCTGACTCAAATTCGCTCCAAAAAGAGTTCTTTTCATCAAGCCACGACTGTCTTGACCGGTGTGTTCCTCCACAACGTCATGACCGGAGACGGGGTTATGTTCTTGAGAAATAAACACAGGGGAAACAAAAAGTGGGGTTGTTCGTCTTGTTGAAGCGATTGTGGCTTGCAGGTGTTGGGGCATAAAAAGTGCCCTCATTCCAGTCCGAGGTAGTCTTCTGGACCTGCCCTCCCATCAAGCTCGGCCCCGACAACCCGCCTTCAGCGAGTGTTCTCCGATACCACCGTTCGGATCAAGCCCATCGCGTAGCTCAAGAAACCATGATCTTCGCTCGTCTCTCCGCTCTCCTACTTGCCGTCTCAGGCGCTTTCGCCGCCACTATCGGATTGCGCGACACATGCGCAGAAGTCGACTCGGATTTGATTCTAGACGTTGATCTTGTAGCCGTTGATTTTGGACATATCGGGCCGATTTGCCTGTGTCTGAGTGGCATTCCTGGTAAGGTATCGAAAAGGTTCCAACGCATCCCATCACTCATCCTTGTCGTAGATCTCATTACCAGTGACACTCTACTCAGTGTCCCTGTTCAGCTTCTTGGCGCGTTGGCTGTGGAAGAAGCCCTCACTGCTCTCGTTGGCTCCAGTCCCATCTGCAATTCCTCGCCCTCCACTCGGAAGCGCGACACCTACACGTTCAACGACCGAATGTGCCCCAAGGGCCTCTCTCTGTGTGGCATCCAAAGCTCTTGGAGTAACACCAACTGGGAGTGTATCGACACCAGAAGCGATTTGGAGAGCTGTGGTGGTTGCCTCGTTGGCGTCATGGGCACCTCTGGCACTGGGGTCGACTGCACGGCCATCGAGGGGGTCGAGGATGTTGCCTGCAACGAGGCCAAGTGCCAGGTCTTCTCCTGCGCATCGGGCTATCGCGTTTCAGATTGCGGCACAAGCTGTGTCAGGACTGCGCCTCACACTTGAAGCACACTAGACACCGCAAAACGAACTCTTTTTTTTTCCACAAAGAAAGGTCCTCCTACTCTTTCCTTCGCTAGGTTACGTCCATTCTTCGAAATGCTGTTTTTTTTTGTATCGTTATGGGCATCCAGAAGCGCCAGTTAAATAAACATACCAATCAGCTTTGTGGCAAAGTAGGCGCGTACGGTGGTGTAATGCGGATTGTCTTGAAGAGCAGTTCTTGGCATGGAAGTCGAAAAAATTTGTAGGAACGGGATAAGTTGCTCAGCGTCTTCTTACCGCAGAACGAAAATATCGTTAACCAAAGCTCGATAGGCAGTAAGTCAATACAGCCGGAAAGGTCAACAGAGTGGCCTGACGGGGATTCGCTGCTGTTCCATGGTCCAGATACTGCGAAGGGATCATTGAGGATGCTAGAATCGCAAGGAAAGGAGGCAGCCGGCATTGGGTGGGGCAGAACGTTTGAGTAAACCCGGCCTTGGCACTGGACGCGGAAAAGGGTCCTGGTTTCAGCCCGGAGAGTACTTAAAAGTAAGAATTCAGCAGTTCAAGTGTGGATTCTGTTCATGGGATGAAATTAAGCACGTCTGAATCCATGCTTATGGACCCTTCTCCACTGCCACCAAGGGTCCTACAGTGGTCCATCGGATTAAATTCGTCTCAGTCCATCTCACGTCTTCACCACCACCTCCGGTTCCTCCTTCGACACCACCACCACCACCGTCATCATCATCACCACCACCACCACCACCACTGCATCTGTCCTCTCACCCTCCTGGCCCTCCTCCCCCCTCCCACACCACCCCTTCTCTGGTACCTGATTCAGCATGCTCCGGCATCTGGTGAGCAAGATATATGCACATGTAAGTGATGTACTCCCTTCGAAAATAACCTACTGACACAAGACCAGGACCGGAGAGAAGGCTTCTGAGCTTAGGAAGGGTGGTGCTAGTGGAAACAATGAGAGAGTGATTGGTTATATCAGACCGGATCAATAAACCTATCAATAATTGTAAAGCACTGAAACCGACGATAAAACTCTTTTAATAGCACTTTTCATTAATACTGCCCGGGGCTCTTTATCATCCCTAATACAGCACACCTAGTTCTA